CAAATTTTTCTCACCTTTTAAACCTTCCCTGAAGCTCTACGAATATTTTAAGACTAAGATAAGAAAAATCCGTTCAGCCGTTCTCGAGTTTTAGCGAGACTAACGAACAGCAATTCATTTTTATATATATAGATAGACTAGCGGGCCCGGCAAACGTTGTCTTGCCTAACAATATTTTTGATGTATAATTTTCGGCATTTTAGGTTGTTTTTATACCCACCATCATAAGGTGATTTGAATATATTTTTGTAACATCTTGGTATTTATCAGAGCACACATAGGGTAACATTACAAAACTGAATTTGATGTTTATGAGTGAGTTTTGTTGCTCCCTCAACGATTTAAGATATAAATTTTATATTTGCACATACATTTGTACTACTCATAAGATGGCCTAGCGTTGTCCTGTCCCTGTATTCTGTAACTTTTGAACAACATTCGATATTGTCTATTTTACAACAATTTCATTTGTAAGTTTTATTGTTTTTACAATAACAAAAGAAATTTAAACAATATCGAATGTTGTTAAAAGTTACAGAATAGGCCTACTGGTGAAACACGACACCTCCCCTGTTGGCCAATTGCTATCTTCAAACGGTACAGTTGTTGGCAGTAGAGATCAGAATTTAGCGTTTGGCCATATGAAAGCAACCAGCAACGTACACAGAATTTCATTTCGGGGGGGGCCCGGTAGTACAAAATGAAAAAATTCGCTGTTGCAAACATAAATTTACTCTGAAAAAAAATCATTTCGGGGGGGGCCCGGGCCCCCAGGGCCGCCCCCCTGCGTACGTCCCTGAAAGCAACTCATAATAAATAATCCCATTCCAGTCCCACCAAATGCATAGCAGAACCTTCCTGGTCGTTAGTCCTGGTTTGGTCACCGTTTGAGGTGTTTCACCGCTCTTTGACCACGATCGTTTTTGCATAGGGTTATCGTATGTGATCCATTTCTCATTTGCAGTCACCATCCGTTTATATAAATAAGAGTATCTCATTCCGTTTGGTCAAGGCTTCGCAGATGGAAATTCGATCCATTCCATTTTTTCTGTTAATTGGTGAGGCACCCAACCATTGAGCTTCTTTTTGAATCCAGGTTTAATTTTTAGCTCCTGGACGATGTAACGACATGCCTGTAAAATTCGATCGTTCCACCGGTCTAATGGATTTCTTTTCCCAAACCTAATATTAGGGATACTTATTGGGCAGAAATTCTCCCTAATTAGAATTTTCCATATTGACTCAAGTATTCGGATATCCCCATCTAACGGCATCCCTTAATATTCGGTATTTGGCTGCAATGTTATGTTCGCCCAAGCTTTCAAATATCCCCCATGTAATAGTAATCAACCTATTTCGATACTGTGGGGGGTTTGGGCACGTTTGGTTGTATATTTGGTAGAATGAATCGTACTGAAATTGTCAATATTGGTTAAATCTTTGAGGTACCCACAATATTCGGTACTTTGAGGAGTTCGGTATTTTAGGGAGTGTTTCAGTCGAAGTGCTGTAATGTTTTATTTTGGATGAAGAAAACCTGTTTACAAAAAATTATCAATGTTGGTGCAAATTGGTCCGGGTAGCCCCATATATTGATATACATATAATGATATACTCTTATTGTTCGGTATTTTCTCATGTGGTATTAGTATATATCCATACCCATTGTAGTATCGTATGTCATTCATATCATATATCATTCCGTGATATTGAAAGGGTAAAACACATTTGCGGAAACATTTCTATTCAGGACCAAATTTTGTATAGCTCCTACATAGGGGCCCGCGCCATTTTCGGTTTTGTAAAGAATTTGACGGAATGGATGGATCATGGATTTGGCTTAATGTAATAGAAAGGCGCCATACATATTTCCCGTTTAATTTTCAGTATGTTGAAGTTCTTACCCCCCGTTTTCCAATCTACTACACGTACTGTGTAACATAGTCCCCATATAAATGTCCCGGCCGATTTAAAGAATCTACATATTAGAAAGTACAAAAGTTCGATCTTAACAACGATTTTTCATGGTATTAAATATATCGGTAGTTGATATATTGATGTAACATCATGAGACTCTTTGTTATAACAAATGCTTTTTATAGTTGTTCTCTTTCAATATGAACTTAATTTTCTCTGTGATACACATATGCGATTAAAGACATTGACCAACGATTAGGCATATAACCACCATATAATGGTACATTTTAGGTACTTCAATAACAACATGTTCCTATGTTCCTATTATTATTATTATTTTCAAGAAGAATAATCTAGGGCATGTGTCTTAGAATCAGAACTCTTTTCTGAATCTTCAGATTTTCATCCTTGCATTTGTCCCAAAATGTACGTGAATTTCATGGAAGACGTGTACATACAATGATCGCGTATACTTCTCAATTATTGTTTTGCATTCTCAGAAAAAAAGTTTCATTACAATGTCAATTGAATAAAATAAAATATTTTGAAAATTTTCAATATTTGACAAATGAATATTTGTTTTCAAAATATTTTTTTTTTTTCATAATATTTTTTCTTTTTTGCAAATTTTTCGCGGTTTGTCGAATTTTTCTCACCTTTTAAACCTTCCCTGAAGCTCCACGAACATTTCAAGACTAAGATCAGAAAAATCCGTTCAGCCGTTCTCGAGTTTTAGCGAGACTAACGAACAGCAATTCATTTTTATATATATAGATATAGATAGATAGATAGATTTACAACATTTTTGATGATTATCTTCTAATTACTAACAATTTTCACTTTCGTTATAATTACCAGTTCCATCTCTTTAATGGGTCGTCATTTCATGACACATGTCAATGTTATATAACATTTTTCAAATATAAATTTTATTCAGAACAATATGAAATTTCGACGTTGACCTCATGTCATTTGTAAAAAGCTACCCACAATGAATATTACTGGTGTAAAGCTCGAAGTTCCCAGATTTTAAATATACAGTATTTTTCGGTTAATTGACCCTACGGTTAATTGGTTTCCACGCTTAATTGAACCACATGATGGGTCAAAAATATTTCATGTCATAGTTTTATAATATAATTGAACAAAAATTTGTGCAAATTTTGATGTGCAATTAACCGAAAAATACTGTATAACGCTTTTTCCTCTCTACCTGAAATTGACTTTTTGCCAAAAAATTGGAATCCTGGCCCATAGTGCTCTGGTAGGAATTACCGAAAGTCGTGAGGTATCATTATATGGGGCTATGCCTAAGTGTGAACCGATATAACTCATTTTCGAAAGTAACCTTTCAGTTTTGTATACTGATACACTTCGGAGGTATTATGATATCATATGTTCAGAATATCCCCCATACTATGAATAAACGCGCTTATCCTTAACATGCGAATAAATAAGTTAACTATTTTAATATAACCACTTGGGGTATACCCTACATATGAATCCCAACTGACGTCGCCATTACGCTATGCCAAATTTCGTGCAAATCGAAAGTTATATAGGGACTTTGGTGGACCATTTATATTAAATCGGACGAAAATATATATGAGAGCTATATCTAAATTTGAACCGATTTTCACGGAACTTAAGACACGCCACTCTAGACTTAACTGAGTATGCTATCCCAAACTTCGTGTAAATCGAAAGATATATACGTGCACAATTTAGATTAAATCGAACGAAAATATGTATGGGAGCTATATCTAAATCTGAACCGATTTTCACGAAACTTAGCACACATCTTTCTAGACTCAATTCAGTACGCTATGCCAAATTTCGTGCAAATCAAAAGTTATACAGGGACTTTGGTACACCATATACATTAAATCAGACGAAAATACACATTGGAGCTATATCTAAATCTGAACTGATTTTCACGAAACTTAACCACATCACTCTAGACTTAACTGAAGTATGCTATGTCAAACTTCGTGCAAATCGAAAGTTATACAGGGACTTTGGTACACCATTTACATTAAATCAGACGAAAATATATGCGGGAGCTTAGATATATCTGAACCGATTTCTTCAATTTCAAATAAATGAGCTGTTCCAGATTTCATCTAATTCGGATCATAAATGCGAGCTGTACTTTGTTTACAATTTAACGTGGACAAAAATATCTGTTCTGTATATCTGCAGAGTATAATTATGGTAAATAATGTTTCCCAAAAAGTAAAATAATATTTACGAATCATCACCATTTGAAATCTTTATGGTAAACAGAAATACTGCTATAACGTGAGTACTTTTTGTATTCGCAGCTATGCCATTAATGCTGCTTTTCTGTCAGTACATTAGCCAACAGATAACAATGAAATTACGAATGGAGAACAGAACATTTCAACATAAGAACAGAAGAGAATTGAAGTTGTTTTCGTTTTATTCAAAAGCGATGTTCTGCATACCGTCAAAACAAATAAAGAATAAAAAACAAAGGCACAACAGAACAGAAAAGAAATGCCGAAACTCAACACCTGTCAAGTGTGTTAATTTTTCAAATTACCTGAGATGCTATTAAAGCCATATGGCATGCTGGCAGTGTGCCTTAATTGGCAAATGTAATACGATTCGGGTATTTAATGCTGTAGGCGAGACAGCAGATATGACATGAGCTGACAGTATTACAATAAAATTTGTTTTCCAAAAATAAAAATTAAAATTCGATACAGCAGAAATGTTCACAATAATTTCAACGCAAGTTTCGCAGACTTTACAATTTTGAATGTAGAATTTTGATATTTTTTAAAAATACTACTGAAACTATTTGACATTGAAGAGGGACTAAAGTTGACACTTTGTGTGTAAGAAAGAGATGCTACTATAGCCAATAAATGTGGACCGATATTTATATATATATGAATATTTCGATGAGTTACAAACGGAATGCCAAAATTAATATACCCTCTATACAATGGCGGAGGGTATAAAAATAGGCATCATGCCTTCCCGATTGGCACGAAATTTCGCAAAATGTACTAAAATAACGTGTGTCAAGTTTTCTTCTAAAGAGAGCTAAAGAGTTGCTTCGCTTGGCCAAAAGTGGTGAACTGCCGAATTTGGTTTTCTCCGATGAGAAAACATTCGTTCTCAAGCAGTTTGTAAACAAACAAAACGATCGTGTTTACTTGCCAAAGAGGTCAGCTGAAAATGTGCATCTTAGGTTGGCCACCAGAACTCAAGCGCCGGTCATGATGATGGTGTGGGCCGCCATAACAGCCGATGGTCGCTCTCCGCTCGACATCAGAATAAATGCCGAATATTATCACGAAAATGTTCTGGAGGGTTTATTAAAGCCTTGGGCACGTAAACATTTTGGCCGCAGACCTTGGACATTCCAACAGCACCATCGCACTTAGCACGCGCCGCCCAAGAATAGTTATAAAATGAGGTTCCTCTCTTCTTTTCCAGCGCACAATGGTCACCAAAATTTCCTATACTAAACCGTTTGACTATTGTGTCTGGAGTATTTTGGAAGGCAAGGTTGGCACTAAAAATACCATAGTATCGGATCATCTCAAGCAAGCGCTTCGCCGGGAATTGGCCAAAATACCGCAGAGCAAATTTGGCCGCGTGTGATGGTTTCATTGGCCTTTTAAGGCCACAATTCCAAACGGTGCCATAGGTGACCAATTCGAACAAATCTAAACGTATTCTAAAAGTTGATGCTATTTCCGACATTTTTTGCTTTCATTCAATAAAATAAAAAAAAACGTAAATACTATGACGTTTGACTTTGTTGCAGTTTTTATACCCTCCACCATAGTATGGAGGGTATATTAGTTTTGTTTTTCCGTTTGTAACGCATCGAAATACTCATTTCCGACCCTATAAAGTATATATATTCTTGATCAGCGTAAAATTCTATGACGATCTAAGCATGTCCGTCTGTCCGTCTGTTGTAATCACTCTAGCGTCTAAACGAATTGAGATAGATCGCCAAAATTTTGCATAGAGTCTTTTGTCTGCAGGCAGGTCAAGTTCGAAGATCGGATATATCGGTCCACGTTTAGGCATAGCTCCCTGGTAGCCCCCATATAACGGTACCTCTATAAATTTTGGGGGTTTTATTGTAGTTTTCAACCGAATTGGCTGTAATTTAGTACATTGAGTTCTTATTGGGTAGCAAATCTCCCAATATAAGGGTACCCCCCAAATTTCGGTATTTTGGGGTTCTTGAGCGCGTTTTTCAACCGAATTCGCTGAAATTTTGTACATTTGGTTCTCATTAGGTGCCAAAAATCTCCACCAAAAATTATAAATATAGGTCCATATTTTCTGGTAGACCCCATATAAGGGTACCCCCAATTTTCGCTTTTTTGAGGTTCTTGAGCACGTTTTTCAACCCAATTCGCTGAAATTTGGTACTTTGAAGATGGGATATATCGGTCCACGTTTAGGCATAGCTCCCATATAAGGGTACCCCCCAATTTTCCGTATTTTGGGGTACTTGAGCGCGTTTTTCAACCGAATTCGCTGAAATTTGGTACTTTGAGTTCTTATTGGGTAGCAAATATCCCCACTAAAAATTATAAATATAGGTCCATTTTTTCGGACAGCCCCCATGTAAGGGTAACCCCAAAATTTCGGTATTTTGAGGTTCCAGAGCGTGTTTTTCAACAGAATTCGCTGAAATTTGGTACTTTGAGTTCTTATTGGGTACCAAATAAACCTACTAAAAATTATAAATATAGGTCAATTTTTTCTGGTACCCCCATATAACGGTACCCCTCAATTTGCGGTATTTTGGGGTTCTTGACCGCGTTTTTCAACGGAATTCGCTGAAATTTGCTTTATTGCGTTCCTATTGGGTAATAAATTTCTCCACAAAAAATTATGGATATAGGTCCACTTTTTCTGGTAGTCCCCATATAACGGTACCTCCTAATTTTCAGTATTTTGGGGGTTTTGATCGTATTTTTCCGCCGAATTAGCTGTAATTTAGTATTTTGAGTTCTTAATAGGTCCCTAAACTCTCCACAAAAAATTATGAATATAGGTCAATTTTTTCGGATAGACCCCATAAAAGGGTACCCCCAATTTTCGGTATTTTGGGGTTCTTGAGCGCGTTTTTCAACCGAATTTGTTGCAAATTGGTATTTTGTAGTCGTATATGGTAACAAATCTCCCTACCAAAAATTATTAATATTCGCCCCCTTTTTGGGGTAGTCCCCATATAACCCCCTTTTTATACCCTCCACCATAGTATGGAGGTATATTAGTTTTGTTTTTCCGTTTGTAACGCATCGAGATACTCATTTCCGACCCTACGCTGATCAAGAATATATACTTTATATTCTTGATCAGCGTAAAATTCTAAGACGATTTATGCATGTCCGTCTGTCTGTCTGTTGTAATCACTCTAGCGTCTAAACGAATTGAGATAGTGCCCCAAAATTTCGCATAGAGTCGTCTTTTGTCTGCAGGCAGGTCTTTTGTCTGCAGGCAGGTTTAGGCATAGCTCCCATATAAGGATACCCCCCAATTTTCGGTATTTTGAGGTTCTTGAGCGTGTTTTTCAACCGAATTCGCTGAAATTTGGTACTTTGAGTTCTTATTGGGTAGCAAATATCCCCACTAAAAATTATAAATATAGGTCCATTTTTTCGGAAAGCCCCCATGTAAGGGTAACCCCAAAATTTCGGTATTTTGAGGTTCTTGAGCGTGTTTTTCAACAGAATTCGCTGAAATTTGGTACTTTGAGTTCTTTTTGGGTACCAAATAAACATACTAAAATTATAAATATAGGTCAATTTTTTCTGGTACCCCCCATATAACGGTACCCCTCAATTTTCGGTATTTTGGGGTTCTTGACCGCGTTTTTCAACGGAATTCGCTGAAATTTGCTTTATTGGGTTCCTATTGGGTAATAAATTTCTCCACAAAAAATTATGGATATAGGTCCACTTTTTCTGGTAGTCCCCATATAACGGTACCTCCTAATTTTCAGTATTTTGGGGGTTTTGATCGTATTTTTCCGCCGAATTAGCTGTAATTTAGTATTTTTAGTTCTTAATAGGTCCCTAAACTCTCCACAAAAAATTATGAATATAGGTCCATTTTTTCGGATAGCCCCCATAAAAGGGTACCCCCAATTTTGTTGCAAATTGGTATTTTGTAGTCGTATATGGTAACAAATCTCCCTACCAAAAATTATTAATATTCGCCCCCTTTTTGGGGTAGTCCCCATATAACCCCCTTTTTTATATTAATATAGTTATCTGATTTGTTACGCGTTTTAATTTTGGTTCTAAGACTCTGTTGTAATCATTTCACCTGCGGAGGATAGCGAGATAAAAAATTAGAACGTAAGGTTCGATAATGAACTATAGCCGCATTTAGACCTAGCCCCTGTGTGGAGGTACCAGAAGAAGTGGACCGATATTCCCCATCTTCGAATTTGAACTAAGTTTGGAAGAAATAATAAGATGTGCGAGGTTTGAATGAAATCCAACTTTACTGAAACGGATTTGGTCCAAAGAAACATGGGGTCTAGAACCAATATTTCGATGGGGCACATTTTCATTGTGTTAAAGTGTATACACCGTCATTAGCTGTAAGGCTGAAGGTATAATTATCCATTAAAATTTTCTGAAATTTGTATTGTTGTTTACATTATGGTTTACATAATCCGTTTTTAGAAATGTCGGTATAGGTCCACTTTTTGACATGTTCCCTATATTTTCATTTCTAGTACCTGCCCGTATATCTATGGTGGAGGGTATCCAAAGTTCGGCCCGGCCGAACTTAACGCTTTTTCACTTGTTTATTTTAAAATAGTTAGCTGATTTTTTCCGTGTGTTGGGCTTATCCCACATAGCTGTATTCAGGGGGGATATTCGGTAGACGAAATTTTCAGTTCATACCCCACATAGTATGGAATTTTAAAACGATTTAGTCGATTTAGCCATATGTTGTAATAATTTTTCTCTCGGAGGATATCGACATAAGAACTAAAACGTGAGGTTTGAGAATGAACTGTTCCGACCCGCATTTAGGACCAGGTTCTATATAAAACTTCCTACGTATATATTATTTAGCGTGATGGACGGTTTGGAATTCAAAACTAAAATATTATCTTGGAACTTGAGCTACATCTGCCCTTAATTAGGCCTAACCCCTTATATAATATAAACATGCTTCATATACAATATTGCCTCTAAATTGGAGTATGTTCAGGATTTTATACACATGTTTCACCGTACCATGCGTTAATAATATATATCAACATTTGATATGCTGAATTTTCTATTTGGTTTACAACAATCGATTGGAAGAATTGTCGTTATATGTATGTTCCCTATGTTTTCATTTCAAAAAATTTTAAGTATTTCTATGGTGGAGGGTATCCAAAGTTCGGCCCGGCCGAACTTAACGCTTTTTTACTTGTTTTAAATCACCCTGTATGGTATCAGATATTTTAAAAGGGGTTTTGGCCATTTTTAACCGAATTGACTTCGATTTGTCTTTTCAGGTTCTCATGGGTTGTCAATAAATTTTTAATCGAAATATCTCATAGGAGTGGATATAATTCGACATATCGGATTCTTGGTGAATAAAAAAAAAGAAAATTAAACAAAGCCCCGTTTAAGTTTTTCAACTAGAATGCTTGTAATTTGCCATAATGCCATAACCCCCATATAAATGTTCCGATCAATTTAAGGAATTATTTCAATTCGATGCTTTTTTTGTAGCATATAAACAATTTTAAATATAATTATATTTATAATTTTTAATTGTTAATATAATTTAGTGTTTTCACCCATAGCTACTCTACAATTATCGCTAAATTTTATAGAATGCACTTTGAAATGGAATAAAATTGAATGCAACATTTTGCCGACAAATAAAAATATTGTGCTAAAATAAATTTGTTTATATTTAATTTCGACAGTCATTTGTTGTTTTTATTAAAATGTTTTTTTTTTTTTTGTTTCTTCCATCTGCCACACAAAAATATGGCACCAATTGAATTCCAAAAACACGTTGGCATTTCGAACTGTTGAAGTGCATTCACAGCTATTGGAATGCCGACAAAACATTTTATGTTGTATAGCCTACACCACACTGTGGTGTAGGGACACTATGATAGACTTTATGGATGTGTTTGTGACA